GGGTCCTCCGCGGGTAGTCTGGGTCCTCCGGAGGACCCGGCCTGTCGTTTTGGACACAGCCTGAGTCTTTTTTTCATCCCTAGCACTTAGCATTGCCCCTGTTTTCATTATTCACACAGGAGGGTATGCGTGTCTCAATTCTTTCTGTGATGTAGGGGGAGGACAAAGTGGTAGGGCTACTTGGCCTGAACATATTTTTCTAGAGACACACTTCAAATGAAGAAGTATCAGCTTTTACAGAAACTTGCAAATCTAAGTAGTTTCTCAGATAAAAAAAACAAGTTTGCAATCACTGATTATCTTTAATAAGCTTTAAAATGGCAAAAAAAAAAAAAGCTTAGTCATCATTAAAATGTTTTACTCTTGCAATTTCTGTTGTATTGTCTACTTTTGTGTATTTTCATGTGTTGCATTTCAGATAATTGCTAATCTTCCATAACAAGTATTAAAACTGGGGTTAACTGGTTAAAAAGGCAAAGTAACATGCTCCTGTAGAAAATGATGATAGTTGATGCTCTGTGCAGATTTTTAATGGGTGTCTGCAGTGGAACCCTCCAACCAGTACCCTTGTGACTTTAAATGAAGAGTCATAGTCGGGTAACTCTAAAAAATGGGATTCGAGCCTATTTGATGCCTCAAGTCTTGTTATACATTTTCTCAGTGACTGACAGAACTTATAGATTATGTTAACAACCTAACTGTAGTTGACAGAAGAGACATTTTAAAATTGTTTAAGAGTTATTTTATACTCCTTTAGCAGAACAAAAGATTGGTTTTAGTAGTTCGCAGAATTTTTAGAGCTTGGATTGGAAGCGAAAGATTACGACCCTGTCCTCCAGATTGACGACAGTGCTGTTTTGTTAAAACCCTGACAAGACAAATCATGAACTTAGACCCACATTTTAAATAACAATCTACCAACTGAGTCAGATGTAGTTCCTGTCAGGGGGAAAAAAAAGTTGTGATGTGGGGCTTTCTTTAAAAGTGATGGTCTATGAAAAAGTTCCTGAAAGAGCCAACCAGTCCAGTTTGACTGTAGAACAAAGGGAAAATAAACTTTGAGGACAAAGTCAAAGTTGCGTCACTTCTTTCAAGAAACATGTCTTGCATTGTGTGCTAGTATTTTGAGGCTTTCGTTTGTGTGGAGACTGCCAGCAGCTCCTCAAAATCTCAGGCAGCTGAACTCCAACATGACCTTTATTGTTGTTTTTTTAAAGCACTGAACAATGCTTGGCTGGCACTCAGTTACACCATCAATAAGTGGGTGTGATGTGTGTACAAGAGGGCTTCCTTTAGTTTGACTTGGATTCTTCATCTGAAGGGGGGAAAGCAGCAACACCGCATCTATTAACATCTATTAAGCTGAGGCGCATCTCTTCTCGGGGCTGTCCAGTGTTTTGGCACAGAAACTGGCGAAGCTTTTCCAGGCAGAACATGCTAAAGTCCACGGTCTGAGGGACCCCTCAGCAGGTGCAGTCCAACAGAGGACCCTTGTGTGTTTTCTCAGGGGAAGAGATGCGTTCAGCATAAAAAACAAGGCAAAGATGAACCAAACACTGGACAGTCGTTAATTAAAACCCGCTCCTTCATTTAAAATTTAAATACATTTAAATGGACAAACTAGAGAAAACTTACCTTCAACTGAGATTTTGAAACTTTCCCGCTTTTGTCTACATCCAGAGCGGTAAACGCGTGCCATATAGTCTTTAAAAGTTCGTCCCGCAGAGCCATAATGCTCGTTAATTATTCGTATATTTCTTTACCCCTTTCCTTGAGCGCGCGACTCTTCCTCTCGTGCGGACTGTGAGCTCAGTGTCTGACGCCGAGGGAGAGTCACGTGACCTGAGGGCTTTGGAGCCTGTTGTTCCTTGGAGAGAAGAGCTGTAGCACCACTCAGCGAGGAAACATATATATAATTTATTTATTTATTTATTTATTTATTTATTTATGTATTTATTTATATGACTGGATTAAAATTTTTAAATAATATTTCTTATTCATGTGATTAGTCTGTGTTTTTTAATTAACTTAGAACTAAGATATGTCAATAACCAGAGTTGTAAAGTAACTAAGCAAGTACAAATACTGTATTTGTTACTGTATATAAGTATAATTTTTGGGTACTTTACTTGAGTAATTATTTTTCAGCCAACTTTTTACTTCTACTTCTTACATTTCCACACAGTTATCTGTACTTTCTACTCTTTACATTTTTTAAAAAGGCAAGAAATTGAAAGTCGTTACTTTTATTTAATTTATGCTTGTTTTCATTCCAGCTTGTTATTGTAAAAAAAATAGACACTATTCATATAAACTGTGCCTCCTAGATAGAGTGAATTTAATTGTGGTTGAATGAGAAATATAAATATATCAAATTCTGATACTCTATTAGTTTTTACACAAACAAATCATGTCACACTCCAGAAGGACATAATCATTAAAATAAATGGACTGTACTGAAGAAGTATTTGTATTTTATGAATTATATTATTGCATTTGGCCCGCAGCCCATCCATCCATTTGGGCAGCCTTGATAGATGTATATAAACTGAAACAGCTAGACTAGTTCATCCTAAATTTAACATAAATTTATTCTTTTAATACAATATAGTCATTTCTGCAGTTTTTGGGGAGGTCACTTCCTAATAAATGTCATTACAGAAAATCTAACTGCTCATTTTAAATCAATACTTTTACTTTTAATACGTAAGTACAAAACACATCAGATACTTTGACTTTTACTCAAGTTGTATTCCTAAAGGAGACTTTTACCTAAGTATTTTTGGTAAGATACTTGTACTTTTATTCAAGTATCACTTTGTGGTATACAACACTGTCTATAACAGGCCTACAAGTTTTGTTGTTTTTTTTTTAGCCCCAAGCTTAATTCCTTTGGGCTAATTTGGCATTTTCCCTGCTACAACCTAATAAATATAAAAACATTGTTGTTGTTCTTATTATTGTAAAAAATATATATAAAATATCTAGTCTCTGTGAATAACGACAACCAGTCTAAAACAGGGACAGCTGTGGCAGAGTGGTTAGGGGAGTGGTCCTGTAACCGGTGAGTTGCCAGTTCAATCCCCCGCTCCATCTGTCTCCGTTCTTGTGTCCTTGGGGAACTTTCAGGAAGGCCCAGTTAGTATAACCACACTAGTCCAGGACCTGTCTTGTATGTGATTTCTCTTTCTCCCTGGGTTTGTGGGGACACTGTCTACTCTGTGGTACAGAGTTCTGATGACTCTAACTTATGTGATGGGAATCAAACCACAAATACTGGTCTGGGTGGGTTTTCAATACACACCAGTTTCCAACTGTCCTCCGTGTTTATCTACAGAGTTGATGTGATCAGTGAAATGTTGGACTTACTGGAATTTAATTTTAACCCAGGTGTCATCACCATAGCTGAACCAATGGCTCAGTGGTGTTCCTGTAAAGGACATCAGAGCTCTCTTTTCCACCTCCTCCATGTACAGGTTTGCAACACTAGGAGCGATTGGGGAGCCCATAGCACACCCATGTTTCTGTCCATATTGTTGCCCCCATATGTGAAGTATAGGCAGTTTCAGGAGTTGGCACGGTTGTTCTGTGGAAACAGTGGTTGTCTATGGCAAGCCCTTTTAGCATAAAATCGGATTCACGACGCTTCCATTCCGGATATCTGAAATTGAATTATGACTAGTCATATTTGTTATTCAAGATATCTCAAATTATATTTTGACTAGTCAAAATACCTATTTGAGATATCTCTAAATACATTTTGACTAGTATAAATGACGTCAGATTTACCATTGAAGTCTATGGAGGCCACAGTGGTTCTGCTGCTGAGTTGTGCCTGTTTTTAATCGTACACTGACCACATCCACCGCCTCATCAAGAGGAACACACGTAAAGAGTGATGTGACATCAAAGGAGACCATGATGACATCCCTCACCTTGTCCACAAAGTCCATGGTGTTCTGTATGTTATGTTCTGAGCTGCCAACTAAAGAACAAAGTATCAACACCAGATATTTGGAAACACTATAACAAAGTTAAGCATGCTAACAATGGGGCTTATTGATAAGCTTGTTTGTAGATTTTTGGTAAACCAGACACCAGGAGTGGCCTCACCTGGGTACAGTCTGTATAGCCTTATCTTGCTTCACATTTTTCTGGTACATCTTGGAACATATTGTACTTAAAGGGACAACGTAGTTAACATGCTTTTCACTACGACAGACAGTTATTTGTCATCAGGTTGTTTGTGGGTTGAGTCACTGAAGGAGGGAGGGGTTCCCTCTATTGAGATGACGTCTTTGCTCCAGGAGTGACTCAGCCAGAAGATGGATAAATATGTGGTTATTTTTAATTCTTTATCCAAAGGTCTGTTTTTGGTCAAGTCTTAAATCTGAATTTGTCTGATTTGTTCTCACCAGTCAGTAAAAATGTTTAACATAAGTATTGTAGCTTTTGAACTAGAGCATATTAAAGATGTTCAAGGTTGTGAAAATTAGGTGTAACCGTCCCTTGGAAACCAACTTTAGCTTCTTTGCTTTTAAAATGTTCATTCTTAACTTTTCCACAGGACCGCACTTTACAATCCCAAAATATCTAGAACTTTGCAAGACCACTCACTCATAAAACAGATCTTTAGAACAGAGCAAGTAAAGAAGATTTATTGAAGAACATATGTACATGGTTTGGGAGAAAAAAAGCCTTTTGTGTTAGACGATGCAAGAAAGAAAAGAAAAGCTTTTTCTAAACAGTAATAGATGATGAGCTTAATGAAAATGATGACAAGACAACAGAACACATGAGCATCCAAAGAACAGGACGATGATTGTAATGCTACAGGAAGGGCTGGCAGCACTGATCAACAGGGAGGAATCAAAGACTGGACCATTCAAACCTCACAATGAGTTAGACCACAGGTTATGGCAATTTAAACAAATACCATGATCCACTTTCCAGGAAAAGTATTAAATGGAAGGAGATGCCAAATAGAGCCAATGACCTCTAGAAGGACCCAGATTAGACTGACCAAACCCTGGTACATACAAAAACATCAATAGCAGCAAATTCCTTGTTTTCTTCTCATAATAACGTAGAAATACCAAACGTTGCCTCCAAAGTGCTCCTTTACAAAAGAGACATTGTCCATTCACAGACCACCTGGTACCCAGCATCAGGCTTATGACAGGCAGTAAGGTGCGCACCGCTAAGTCGAGTACATTCACACTGAAGAGAGCTTCGATGCAGCTCTGAACAGCTGCCAGCAGGCTTCGGCTATGTCGATGGAAGTGCAACGACAATCTGGGAAAGAGCTGGACATCTACGGAAACTTAAGGAATGATTGAGTAGAGAAGGTAAAGCAACTACCTTTGAGAAATGAGCCTGACTGTAAAAATGCTGAACTATGCAACAAGAGTCAATTGAGAGAACATCCAGTTTAGTGTAGGAACAGTCTACATCTTTGGTTGGGAAGACGATCCCAACGTAACGGACAGGGTTCTCCTCTGGGAAGGAATAAAAAGACACCCAAGTCAACGGGTTCGATGAAAAAGGTCCATAAGTCTTTGTGTTTTACTTCACACCGAAGTAAAGTCTCAGTAGATCGTAAGGCTGACCGACCGATTCATCTTCTTTCCAATAAGCCTTGAAGTTCTGGGGTTGGACTGGACTGTGGAGCGGGTCAGGACCCTGTCGGTGGACAGAACCTTCTCTTCAGCTGCTGCTCTGGCCATCTGGGCTTTCTTCAGCTCTCTGAGGACCACAAAACAAGAAAAAAGAATCAAATCTGTTCTCAAAGATACAAGTGTATACACAGTTCATCAGCACAGAAACAAAACACACTTTTGTCAACTTCTGACAAAAATGTTTTGGTTATTTATGCAATAGTTTTTAATCTTTAACCTCTTAGCTGTACTTTTGTTTCTTCTGTTAGTTTTGAAGTGACAAAAAAGTTAATTTAATAAAACTAGGCAATTAAATTTTAAAAAGTCAGTGAAAATATGCTTTTTTAACCTGCATATGAAATTAATTTCGGCAACAAAAATATAATCCAGTCCTACATTTCTGCTGTACTTACTTCTGAAGCAAGGCATTCTTGAATTTCTCTGCATTGAGCTCAACTCTGAGCTGATCTGCGCTCATTCTGGCAGCTGTCAGAAGTACTGGGTGTTTTATAAGGTCTGACGCCGATGGTCGCCTGCTCGGGTCAGGGTGGATCATTAACTGAAAAAGGAAAGATAAAAACGGTCGTCTCTCAAACAAGCTCATTTAGAAAGACGGCTGAGGTGTTTTTAATCCTTACCTTGAGCAAACTGACAAACTCGGAAGAAAGAACTTGAGGGATGGAAGGCAGCTTGCCCCGTCTGATTTCATGCCACTTTTCTCCATTAGTGGGCAGAGGTTCAGCCCCTGAGGCACTGATGACAGTCAAAGCCAAAGCAAAGATGTCTGCCTTCGTTAGGTTACTGTAGTCCTGAAGAGACAACCAAACAAGATTTACCAACCTGAAACGAGTTATACCGACTCTAAAGAGCAAGTCGTTTCTGTAATAACACAAACCTCTTGCAGGACTTCATTAGCCAAATATCTACTGTCACCCTCTTCTACCTGAGGGTTGTTTACTCTCGTCACGTGACCAAGATCACCTGGAGAAACAAAAAAATACCACCCAACTTTAGATACTGGGAATTTTTTTCATAAAAACTATAAACACAAGTGAGCAGGTCAATGAGAGGTACATACCAATTTTGTAGATAACACTAGTTGTTACTTCATCATCATCATCTGATTCATCACAGCTTGCTACAGATTTTCGAGAAATGAATATGTTGCCTAGAAAAAATATGAAAACATCAATTTATGACCAAGACATAGTAAAAACTAATCTAAAACAGTCATTTAAAAAAAGTTTTTAACTTCAGGTTTAAGATTTTGATACATCGTGATTTGCTTTTATTTACAGAAATATAAGATGTTGCTTAAATAAAATGAAACTGCTATATTGTATATTTAACCTAATTATAGATTAATTGGATGGATGGTATAAAAGATGGATGGTTTTAGTTACGTGGTTAAGCTCAGTTAAACACAGGTACACACAAATCCATGAGATGACAGTCGCAGTTTAAACTCAAATATGAACCAACTTATTGCACTGTATTCATTGTAATCAAATATTGATATTTTGATGAAAACTGATATCCTAATCCAATTTAATCACAAGTGTTAAGATTAAATTTTAAATTATTGTATAAAAACTGAAAACACAGGTGAGCCAGTACTGTTATTGTTATTTTTAAAACATAAAAATATAAAATATCAGATAGTAAACATGCTTTTATAAATTCTAATTTTGGCCCCTGGACATTTGTGGTATGCAGGCGTCAGGTAGTGCTAAGACCAATAATGTGTGGTAAACTACAGTTTCCTGCTAATAGTGTTAAGAAGAAATAATTGCTGTATTCCGGCATACGAGCACTCACTGGGTTTAATGTCCATGTGCACCAGCGACATGGAGTGGATGTATTTGAGGCCTCTGGAGACTTGCAGCAGCAGATCTTTCAGGTGCAGCTCAGACAAGAAGGTGAGCTGCCTGTAATTCTCTGTGATGACGTCAGACAGCGTCCCGCCGTTGCAGTACTCGTTTTGAATAAGCATGTGGTCGTCCTCAGCCCAAGCCGAATAGTACCGCACCACGTGGGGGTGTTGGCCAAGCACGGCATGGGCGTAGACCTCCCGCAACGCGTTCTGCCTGTAAACATGCAGAGATAGTTTAAGTATGTTTTATCAACTAAGTAACCTAATTAATACAAAAACTTTATTTAATTCCAAACAAGTGCAAACTACTTACTCATCCACCGATCCTGCCAGGGGTTTTTTCGACCTCTTAATAGCGTACACACAGCCATCGAGCCTTTTCACACACTTGAACACGGCCCCAAACTCTCCGGCGCCGATTTTCTCCAGCTCGAGGAACTCGGAGGCGTAACGAGACATCATGTTGCCGTCCATCATGGTAATCCTCTGAGGATGGTGGGGAGAAATAAGACAAACATTACCCCAACCACTTAACTGGATCAGACTTGTTCTCAGATTGCCTTACAAATCTTATTTAGCACAACAAAGAGGCAAACAAGGTGAGCAGTTTGTCTTTACAAAAACAACTACTGTTGCGCAACATGCTGACCAACAGCATTGTTTATCTTTTATTAGGAAATGACAGTAGTTGCAATCTCGGGATAATAAAGGACGCAGTCACCGTTGTAACTTAGCTGCTACCACGCCAAATGTCAGCTCAATATCTGTCAAATTGACCAAATTAGACATTTTTGCATTTTCTTATTTAAGCTGGCTGTGGTGACTTTCTAAAAGTTAATTAGTTGTAGATGCACTTCCAACGGTTACGTTCTGAGAGCTTTAATTAAAAACAAGGATAGGTAGCATTGATTGCGAAAAGTTAACAAAATTTTTTTTAAAGAATTATGTGTAAGAATATATATAATGGAATTCAACTTCTGCTATGGCTACACAAAAGTGATCGGTAAGCATCCAATATCTGTAAAACAGACCAAGATATGGTCTTTTCCTCTGCCTTCATTCAGCAGGAGTCTTGTTAACAAGCCCATCTGCAAATGTCTCACAGAATATAATAAATGTGCCGTTTCTTTTTTTTACCTTTGATGGTGGGAGTACTTCATCCTCTCCTTCCCCGTCGCTTGCCTCCATGTCTTCTCCGCATGAGCTGAAACACAAGGGGGGAGTGTTGGTTAGCATTCTGAACAGCAGGGGGCAGCACTGAGAGCTTCACAAGCACATGGTTGAGTTCACCAGTAACCATGAGGTATTGATTTCCAGCCGCCCCACCCCCCACAAGGTCAAAATCAACAGCTTTATCATAACTGGCTGCTTTGACAAAGGCTTCGTTTTAAAGATAACAGATGCAGTTGCACAACTACTAGCTGCACAATGCAATGTGTGCCGATCACACCCCCCCCTCTCCAAACAACAGTCACCCATCAAATAAAACACTTGAGCTAGATTAATCTCAAATAGAAGCCACTACAGACTTCATGAAAGGGGTTTCCCACAGACAGACACAGAAACACACGGGCAACATACTCATTCCAGTGGGCTCTCTTCCTGTTGTTTCTCTGTTGTGTTGCAGACTGAATGAGTATGGAGTCGGGGGTGAAGGGGTTGAAGTTGACAAGGGGGATCTGCTGTCTCCTGCAGCTGTCTGTGACCGACTTTCGTGGAGACTCCACATTCTTGAAGAGAGCCACTCTCCTGCTGGAGGAACCTGATCCAGAACCCCTGGCCCTGGACAGCAAACTCTGCAAAAATTAAAACAAAGTTTGTTGTTGTTAAAGAAAAGAGAACAGAATAACCAGGCAGCACAAGTCTGGTTTTAATCACGAGAATAATAAAATAGATTGAAAATATCAGATTATAAATATCTGCACGTAACATAAAAAGGTCCACAAATTAGCTGGTGGGACTACAGTGAAAGCATTATGCAACAGGTACAGTTAGACTGTAAGTGGGTCACTGGGTCATTAACTGACATGCAGTTCAAAATCTGTAAAAACAAAGGGACTGGTTTGGCTTTAAATGCAATACCTGAAAACATGCCATGCGTCAAATCCTTCATTTTAGGTTAAAAACTAAGAAAATTGAGTATAACTTGTTCAGTGTTCTTTCTGCATATAATGAGCAAATATCGTTTAAATTTAAATGGGTCCTTTACTGAAAAATACAACATAACTGTATAATAAAGTGCATTTGAATAAGATGCTCACCTTTGGTGTGTGCGGTGTGTCGAACAGCCGGAGTTTTCTGAAGGTTTTGTGCGGAGGTGTGTCAGGGCAGTCCGGGATCGGAGGACTGGACCCTTCCCCGTCCTCCTCCGGGAGAAAGCTCCGCTCGGGAGACCCTCCGTACAGCCGCGACACCTTCTTCGGCGACGGCGAGCAGTTGGCGAAGATAACGCTGCACGGCGACCGCAGGCGAGACGCCGGGGAGCCGAAGTCGTCCTCCTCCTCTTCGTCCCACAGCTCCACGCCGTCGGACGGAGTCAGGGGGCTGCTGCTCCCTTCCAGCCGCTTGTCCGCGGCGTCGCGTCGAACGGGCATCGGGGAGTCCATCTCCGTGAAACCGGACTCTCCCCCGGTGCTGTTGTTGACATCCTCGATGGGCTCGTCCTCTCCGTCGCTGCAGGTGAACTGCAGCTTCTGGCGGATCGGTCGAGACTTCGGGGAAGTTGTTTCGAGCCGATGGCGACTGTAGCTCGACATTTTCCCAGGCCAAACTCGGTCGGCGGAGAAAAAGGAAAAAAAAAGAAAAAGAAAAAAAAAGACTCGCGGGTGAAACCCGCTTTTCGTAGAACTAAGTCAAATAATTACCTTTAAGCTAAGGTATCCGAAAATGTTTAGTCCGACTTCACACACACACACAAAAAAAGAAAACTTGTTTGAAACTGAAAAGCTGGGAAATGGCGAACTACCGTCGTATTCACCGTAGGAGCGACGTCCTAAAAAGTAGCAAAATACAAAAAAAAATTAAAAACCTTCGTCCATCCAGTCGCACACCGCTCCCACCCTCTACGTCGTCTTCGGGGCACGTCGACACACAAACGCGTCTTTCTCCCAAGAAAAAAAACTTTAGCAATGTTTACAAAAACTTTGAATGAGTCAAGTAATGGGTCCTTCCCATCACGCGCATGGCAGAGAACTTCCCGCGACCGTTGATCACGTGTTCCGCTGCAGCCAATCAGGGCGCGCCTGTGGATTTTGAAAGATGGGCGTTTCAGAGTGGCTTCTGAAGAATTACGTCAGCGATTCCAACGCGACAATATGGCGCGAATGCGCGGTGTGTGTGAACTTTTGTAGTCCCGTCAGCGAGAAAACAATGCGTCCATTCATGTGGCGGCACGATCAAAAGATAAAGCTGTAAAAGTCACCTAATTTACACCACTTTGTCACTTTGTCGTACATTCCAAACTGCAGTGTGTCTTGCAACAAAAAGCAGTTTAGATTTATTAACATCCCACAAAATATATTAAAAAACAGACCTTTTAAACTAATTTTATGTTGCTACAAGTTTCAAAATGATCTCATGATGTAAACAATGAATCATGTAGGATGGGCAGTGTGGTGGAAAATATTTACAAACTGAAATAACTTGCTTTTTTTAAAAAAAAAAAAAAAAGTTTCCAATCAGGTGTTTTGTCAGTTTACAGGTGCTCTTCAGAAAGTACCAAGCTACTACACACAGGTTTTCCCCACAGTGTGCCCTCTTCCTATTGTTTGTTGTGTTGCAGACTGAATATGGTTTTGTCACACAAAGGTGTATTTCACTATATAGATCTACGGTTTGTCTTTTATTTGTTTATGTTTTATACATTTAAATTAAAATTTATTCAAGTGAGATTAGTCAGGTTTTACTTTTATGTATCTCAGACCCTCTTACCTCAACTTTAGCACACTGGTACTGAGTCAAAAATATTCAAATATTTTCTTTATTTATTTTTTTTAATTAGAAATAGCATTTACTGTACACTGCACTGTGCATTTTAACAATAAAAAGCATTTATGCCTCTTTTAATGAGGGACAAAATATGTTATAACACCAGTTATTAAAAACAATCATATAAAAAGCTAACTTAAGTGGTGGAAACAAACAGGAAGACTCGTGATTTCTTCCAAATAGTCCATTTTAAATGGTCTTTATTTTGAATGGTTGTCCATAATAAGTCCATCAATCATCCAGGCCCGGTGACTCTCCTTGTTGTATTCTTGATGCTATTCTAATGGCTTCCTCCAGTGAAGGCTGATCGCTTAGCTACAGGAAGGAGAAAAACAGAATATTAAAAAAACATGAATTGGCACTGATGACCATTGTTAAATTATCATCACACTTTCCATTTAATTAATTTACCAACCACCTTCTTAAAGAAGAATCTAAGCTCTGACTGATGAAATTATAAACTGCTGTGTATCATGGATTACTGTCACATAAGGACTAAAAATTTCTTGTTCCCATCAACATAAGAAAAAGAGCACAAACTATTTAAAGACAGGTTTTAAAGAAAAAACAGGGTGGAAATCAGAATTTAATCTAATCACAACCTCACCCTTCAGAGATTTCAGGCCAAAACAAACAAGAATTTAAATTCAATGTAGCAAAATACGAATTCATTAGTGAACAAATAAACATGTTTTAATGCAGCTTTTGATGCTCACAACTTGTGTTTCCAGTACTCAAAAAGTGGCCTGATTTTATCCACAGACTGAAAACGCCAACATGCAAAAAAAAACCCCATCAATGCCAAAACTAGTATTGTAGAATAAGCAGGTGGGTTTCACAGAATGGGATTTAACATTTTGACAACGTTAACTTTAAGTTTTGCCGGGTTCCCACCAAACGTGCTTTGAGCAGCAAAAGTGCTCCCAACGCCTCAAGTTGGACGCACTGAAATGAGTTCGGTGTGAACGCAGCAGCAGACTAGAGGCCCGTCTGAAGAGGGAGGAGCGTCTTGGTTTTTTCTGGTCTGTCTCTAATGACGGGTGAAATAAAGATAAAATAAATAAAATGGCTTTGCTTTATTTACTAAAGAGCAAGTGAATGTTGCTCACAGCAGATAATTAATTCACCAGATAATTTAGAGGCGGTTTGTTCGGTTAGTTTCGCCACTCCAGGAGCTGCGAGCTGAGACTTTTTTTTCCCCCGAGCTCAGCGAGCTGCTGTCTCATCACATCGGTGCTGATATCTCCAGCCAGAACAACAACTGCAGACGGTTGATTTCAGCTAAAGAGCTCCTGTCCGTCTGTGTCGGGTTCAGGAAACCATCACGTGGAAAAAAGTTTCTCTCTGATTGGTTGCTGCTGCGCGTCGAGCAGCCAAAAGTTCAATTTGTTGAACTCGAGCAGCCTTGGACGCACCGCATGCACGGAAAATGCTGCCGCATCCTACTGTAGGAAAAATATGCGTTGTTCAAAATGGTATGTCCGAATAAACAGGAATACACTGGATTTCTTCTTAAAACTTTATTCTCACTGTTCTGACTCCAATCAGGTTCACAGTACTCAGCACACAGGCCTCAAGACCTTGGGCTGAATCAAAACATACAAGAGCTCTGCTCTGAGCAGACACTCTGCAAAACACTGACAGCTCCTTACTGCTATAATAATGAATTGAGTTTATAATGTTCATCTCTTCCTGGTTACACCCATGGAGGTGTTACCTGTTACATCAGACATCAGAACGTCACTCATTCTTGTTTAGGCTAAAGAAAGAACACATCATAAGACACACACCAACTCTTTGTCTGCTTTAACCTTACAGGATGAAATGATCAGAAAGTATAAAATACAATACTGCATCTAACATTCAATTAATCAGTTACAAAATTTCTTTCACTACCACTACCTTGCGTGCTGCGCCAAACTGGCAAAACGCACCGCAACATGCCGCCGCGCTGCTCCTAGATGCGCATCTACCATAGACTTTGCATGTAAACTGGCTGCTTTGGCTGATCAAAACGCGTTTGGTGGGAACCCGGCTTTAGATCACTGACTGAATGCGTCAGCAGCAGCACACAAACACCTCCTGACATCATCCCCTGCAGGAAACTCCTAAGAATTGAAGCAAATAGCTCAGCAGGGTGGGACCTGAGGAAGGTTTACTTATTGGACCAAATAACTTCAGTACTCTCTCTTGACTGAGACCACAGTCAGTTTCCTTTTAAATGCAAGGACTTTACACAAAAATTTAAAGGATTATGACTTTGTGCGATAACCTTACTCCCTTTTTAGTGCAAATAATCCCTGCAGAGTGATAATTGGTGCTTCTTGTTCTAAATGCACAATTTAGTAATGGGATCTTATAGGTTTGGAAGATTGATAATATAAACTAAACAAAAGCAACAAGCACGGTTTATATTTCAAGACAAAAATCAAAATAGCTCTTTAGTGGATTATAACTAATCGATGTACCTATTCCTTTCAAACACGATATTTCAGATATATCAACAACTATTCCATATATCCATTCATCTTTATTATAAAGAGAAATTCAAAGAATAAAGCCACCCGTCTTTTTAATAAACTCGTGTGGTGTTGGTCCACGAACCTGGACAGCAATGTGAGTCCCATTAGAGGTAGCCAGTAACGTGACAGAATGAAGATCTTCTGGCTCTTGACTGTAATTTGCTTCCTCCACAGTTTGAAACGAGGTCATGTCAGGTGTCATGATGGCTACCTGAGGGTGACAGAAATATGCTTTACTGGTTCATGAAGTCATATATGTTCCATACAATGTGTGGAAGAACCTTCAGCATAGCATATTGAAGACAGCAGTGGACGTCAATGAAATTTAAAATGAAACTATCAGACTTTTTTGAAGACGCTTACCATCAAAACAAGTGATCTTTATCATAACTGTTTTTAAGGTGATGTTTTTTAATAAGTAGTTAAAAAAATTCTAGCTAAGAAAATCATAGATAAATAAATAGCTAAAGGCATATCACACACTGCATTTCATGATGACAAGAAACAACAGTGTAGATGTTCAGATCAAACTTGCAAAAACAATGAGGCCAATCTCATGGAATACTGTGAGATTTTGCTAGCTTTGATAGTTCTCAGAGTAAGAGTTGAGAATAACTTTCAGCTACTAACATATCAAACTTTAGCTCATTTGTAAGTCTGATAAAGCTTCAGCCAATTTTGAATAACATTTTTCTTAAATATGAATACATTTAGAAAAAAAAGAAAAAAAAAGAAAAATAAAGAATTCCTTTCATGAGGACCATGAAAAATTAAAACCATCGCAACAATCTGTGAGAACAAAAGTTTAGAATTAGCTTTTAATTTGAGACAAGGCTGTCTAGGGCAAAGAGATGTCTGAACAGTGACACCCAGTGGTCATCAGTGGTATTGTACTTTACCATGCATCAGTTTGATTTTTGACAGAGAATGCCAAAGTATTATTTTTTGCAGTCTGTGGAAAAACATCCAGACATTTAATGTATATCATATATATAGCAAGTAAGTAAGTAAAACTTTATTTATATGTTGCAGCTTGAAGACATCAGTCGACGAATGGAGTAGTTTTTATCCAAACATTTATTTTCTTTTAGCTCCACACAGAATATAAACTGGCTCCACACAGAATATAAACTGGCTCCACACACTCACGGTGCTTCTGCTGCGGTCAGAGTCCGGGTGT